TGATGCATTCTGAAGTGAATAATAATGGATAGGAAAAAACAAGTTAATTTTTAGTATGTTCGCTGAAGGCATTGCTCTTCACACAGATAACTGTTGGGCTTCAAATTTGATCCAGATAATATCAGTTAGAAGTGGAAGTCAAAATTACGACTAAACAATCACCCAAAAGCATACAGAATTGAGCAGAATAACATAAATAGTAACACAACAAAGAATGTCTTCTATGCAACCTGTGATCTCCTTTTTTTCAGCAATCTAAAGTAGAACTATGCGAAGCTGTCATAATAATAGTGATTACTTCTTTGCAAGCAGCTCACACAATTCCACGGGAACTTCCACCGGACAAGAAATAATTGCAGCGGTTTTGAAGATTTGCTTTCTAATCCAGAAGTTTGAGCGTCAAAAGTGAGAACTTTCGCAGGAAACTGAAGCCACACCGACTGAAAACGGAAATTTTTGCAACACTTTCACAAAGGGCTGCAAGACGTTGGTTCGCTGAATGCCCCGCGGAACTTCCAGGCAGTTTTCAGAGAAAGAAAAACAATAGCTGCAATACTGACTTCAGCGACATGGTCATGGGTTGAATCACTGCTTAAACGAACGTTTGCGGAGTTGCATTTGACACAATGGAGCTTTTTTTGAGAGAAAAGGTGTGTGCGAAAAATCGGTGCTCGTCCAAAGTCGAGGTCGGGATGAACTAGGTGATAGTAGTTTCTGATTTTAAGTGCGCATGAATGATAAACTATGAGAAATATCAATAAAGTCTTCTTGGAGTTAACGTTGGTCCCTGCACAATATCATTGCAGAAAAGCTCTTATTCTGAGAGAACATTTTTGAAAAGCTTTTTACTGTCGTAGAAGTTAGCAAGAGATTTTTCTAGAAACTATTTCTAATATCTGTTTCGTAAGGTGCAAAAGGAACCGCGGATGTTTACAGCTTATGAGAATGAAATGGAGAAAATAACAAGCTAGTTGCGTGAGATCCACCTTTCTTCAATACAAATATGTATGAGGATAGATCTCAGGGTTTTCTCTGAGTATATCAATCAGGGCTCAAAAAGAGTTGACTTTTGGAGAATGCAAAAAACGAATCTCCCTTCACTTTCGCAAATTTTTACGAAGTTCCCTTTGTCCCTAAACCCTAAAACCCTCACAAGCGAAACGTTGACTAAAAAAACTACGAAATTTTCGTGTCTTTTCGACCTCAAAAACGATACCGTCTTTGCTATTTGTTCCAAAAAAACAATATGCGGCTTGCTTACAAGCTACCTATGCCGAGCCCTGACATCAATTTTTGATAGCAGTATAAAACATCGACCTATGACCTATTAGGGTCGGAATTTGTTTATTGGTGTACAAATGATGTCACCCAAAATTCGGCGGAACTTGTATTTAATGCTCCGGAGCACATTTTATAGGTAAAGAACAAGTGTGATAAAAATTTGGTGAAAAAGAGAATCTAAAAACCCAGCCAATATTTTATCAGTCCACCTGTACCATGGCCGAAAGACGCAGCTCGTAACATGGTCGTCTCGGCCGCGCATATTCCCATCCCTCCCCCCTCTCTTGAACGTTTTTCAGACATATTTAAGTGCTCTCTACGAGCATTCGCTTTGGTCTTGCGCAGCCTCGAGGACTATCTGAAAACTCCAAAAATATAAGCGTTTAGTCCTCCGCAGCTCTTACAGAGAATACAGAATAGCAAAATTTCTTCTATTGTGCTGGCACACGCGACCAAAGGTAGACTGTTTCGAACACTTTTCCGCTAGACCTCATTAATCAAATAAGTATCATACAAGTAACATTTACCTTC